AAATTGGATTTCTTAAAAAATAAAAACTTCTGGGGGATGGCCCCAAGATGGTGGAGGAATAGGACGGGGAGATCACTTTCTCCTCCACAAATTCATCTAAAGATCATTTGAATGCTGAGCAACTTCCACAAAACAACTTCTGAATGCTGGTGGAGGACATCAGGCACCCAGAAATGCAGTTCATTCTCTTCAAAAGGAGGTAGGACATCTGGGGCAGTGTGCTTGCCAAGTACTTGGTTGCCTGAGCTGCTTGGGCCTGGGAAGGGCACAAAATGCATGCCCAATAGAGTCTGTGCCCTTGTGGAGTAACTGAGAATCTGAACCTGAGCAGTTTAGACCTGGGAAGTGAACGAAATGCAGGGCCCACTCTGGACAGTGCCCTTCAGAGCACCCTGGAGCCTGAGCAGTGTAGACTGGGAAAGCACATGCCGCTGTGACCTGGGACAAACCCAGTGTGGTCCATACACTGTGAGCACTCCCCACACATATTTGTTTGTGGTGTTTCTCCCTCCCCACAACACAACTTAACAAGTGAGCCTAAATAAGTGTCCACCTTCACCCCCTTCTGTCAGGGCAGAAATTAGACACCAAAGAGACTTGCAAACAGAGGAAGCCAAAATGAACAAAGAAGAGGGAACCACTCTGGAAGTGACAGGTGCAACAGATTAAAACCCTGTAGTTAACACTGACTAGGCATTGGAGGGGGCCTGTAGAACTTGAGAACAAGTACAAGCTGGAACAAGGAACTATCTGAAACTGAACTGACTCCACACTACTCAAAACAGCTCCAGAGAAATTCCTAGATGTACTTTTGCTATCATCACTTTTTAGTTATTTTTAAAATTTATGTTCTTTATTACTCCTTTAATTTTCATTTTTACAACCTACTGTTACCTTGCAATAAAAGACCCTCACTTAGGGTTGTTGATTACTGGCTTGATTGCTCTCTCCCCTTTGAACTCTCCCTTTTATCTCCAGGTCACCTCTATCTCCTCCCTCTCCCTTCTCTTCTCTACTTAACTCCGTGAATCTCTCTGGATGTTCTGGGCTGTGGAAAACACTTAGGGAACTGATTATTTGCTGGATTTGTCTCTCCTCTTTTGACTCCTCCCTCTTCTCCTCCTGGTCACCTCTATCTTCCTCATCTCTCTTATCTTCTCTATGTAACTCTGAATCTCTCTGGGTGTTCCAGACTGTGGAGAGCACATATGGAATTGATTACTGGCTAGATTGCTCTCTCCCATTTTGACTCTCCCTGTTCTCCTCCTGGTTACTTCTATCTCCCTCCTCCCTCTTCTCTTCTCCATTTAACTCTGTGAACTTCTCTGGGTGTCCCTCAATGTGGAGAATTGTTTCACCATTAACCTAGATGTTTTATCACTTGTGCTGTGGATGGAGAAGTCTTGAGGTTACTGTTAGAATAAGACTGAAAGCCAGAGGTAGGAGACTTAACTCCCAAACTTGAGAACATCAGAGAACTCCTGATTTCAGGGAACATGAATACACAAGAGCTCATCCAAAAGCCCCCATACCTACACTGAAACCAAGTTCCACCCAAGAGCCAACAAGTTCCAGAACAAGACATACCATGCTAATTCTCCAGCAAAGCAGGGGCACAGACCTGAGAATTAAAAGACAGGCTGTTCAAAGCCATACCAAGCCCTCAGACACCCCAAAAACTCACCACTGGACACTTCATTGCACTCCAGAGAGAAGAGATCCAGCTCCACCCACCAAACACAGATGAAAGCTCCCCTAACCAGGAAACCTTGACAAGCCACTAGTCCACAGGGAGCAGGATCCACAATAAAGAGGAACCACAAACTTCCAGCATACAGGAAGGCCACCCCAAACAGAGCAAGCTAAACAAAATGGAGAGGCAGAGAAATATTTAGCAGGTAAAGGAACATGATAAATGCCCACCAGACCAAACAAAAGAGGAGGAGATATGGAG